TTAAAAGATAATTATAAAGAAAACAATAGAGATTCTGACTTCTCACACTCTTTTATAAAGACTATTTCTCTCTCTTGATAGTCGCTATTTTCTTTCAAAAAACTACTGACGCTCTGCTCCCCCTCTTCTCGTCTCTCTAAATGTTTATAGTCTTTTTTATAAATTTCTGCCCCCCCCCCCCCCCCAACCCCCTTGCAACACCAAATTGATTCCCTCTCCAATCTCTAATGATCCAACCTCCCTCAGAGCTCTCAACCAACCATTTAGGCAATATAATTGCTGCTAATTGCAATGGCTTTTCAATGCTCCACCTCTTACAACTCCAAAATAATGAAAGTAATAAATTTAGATTATTCACTATTTCTATAAATTGAAGCAAAGGAAGTTCTTTTGTCATTTGTAAGTATTGAATGAATTGATTCTATTTCTTATTATTATTTCTTTTTCCCCATTTCTTATTCTTATTTCTTAGGTTTGGATTACACATTGCAATTACTTCTGATTATAGCTAATATTTTTATTTTTTATTTTTTTTATTTTGATGTTAGGGATTTTATCTTGGCATAAGAGGCTCTATCAAGGTAAATTTAGTTCCTATTTTCCCATTTTATTATTAAATAAAAGTTCTTGATGTGAAGATCTCCTATGGCATTTTCAGTAGATGTTAACCAATATAATGTGTGACTCGAATTCTACATTGCTTTCTTAATTCGTGAATTTGTTATCTATCAAATGATAACTTTATACATGTAATCTGCAAGTTTCAAATATATTACATAACAAATATGTTCAGATTGAGGATAACTGACTTTTATTTTGCATATCTCACAACTAACATAACATAGAAGCTGCTTTTTTCAGATCTATTAATTTATTTATCTGGCTATATAGTTTATGCACGAAACACTGTCTGTACTTTGATCACTAAAAAAACTGTTAGTTGCTAGAAGATGATTATCCTCTATTCCTTGCAAACAAAGGGAAGTAACCTAGACTCAAAGACAAATCGTAATAATGTCAAATAAGTCGAATGTTAAGAGGCATGATATGCTCTTGCCACTATATCAGCTGTAATTAGTTATAAGCTCCATGTTCATATTAGTTGATGAGATTAGGATAAAAGTATTTTTCAAATTAAAAAGGTGAACTGAAACTCTCGAATATTTCAAAATAGAATAATATAGCAAACCCAGAATATATAATATTTAACTTTCACAATACTTTTGGGTTATTGCGGTTTAATGCGTCCAAAAATTCATATGTTTCTAATTTTTATGCACTGCAGTTTGTTTTGCTAAAACGATATCTTCACTCATTTTCATATCAAAGTTAAACGTAAACAATTATGTTAAAATGATAAATAAGTCTTTGTGTTAAAATGATATATGTCTTTTCTATATGTCTTCTTTATGTTGGTTTATATTAGTTTTTGGCGACATAGTTGATACTCTTCCTTCTGATATAGATAATACTCTTCCTTCTGAGCTTTAGTAGTTATCTATCTTTTATGATCAGGTTATTCAACAATATGCTAATATCATTAACACTATTTAGTTAAAAAACCAAAAAAAATATTTTCATAAGGAAAACTACTTATAACTAGGGGGGAAATAAGTTGGGAAATCTCAACTTATATTTTTCCCTACTTAAAAGTAACAAATAAGTAAAACAAAGTTAACCCTCACAAACATCAAATCGATACGTTATAAGGGAAAAGCTACAAATAAGTCAAAATAAATAAGTTGCCAAACATACTCTATACCTTGTTTATGTTGGTTTGTAA